AAAATATAAAATAATTATAAAAATAGTTTATAATAAGTTTGTTCTTTTTACGCTTAACTTCCGAGTGGTCAGTGGTTTCTTAACTTTATCAAAGGTAATAATGAAAAATATAAAATAATTATAAAAATAGTTTATAATAAGTTTGTTCTTTTTAGGCTTAACTTCCGAGTGGTCAGTGGTTTCTTAACCTTATCAAAGGTAATAATGAAAATATAAAATAATTATCTTCTTTGGTGTAACTTCTTATAAGACATAATATTACATTAGTAGTTTCGCTTTGAGTTTACTTACTGATTAATTATATTATATTACAAGTTATAGCTTTTACAGTAAATAATATTTGTTATTAGAACAGGTACGACGTTTCTATCACCGGTGTGATCATTCTCAAGTGCATGAGTTTTAACGGTAAAGAACGTCGTACCTGTTCTAAAAACAAATCATACTTACTATAAAAGCTGTAACTTGTAATATAATAAAATATGATATTATTTCAAAAAATATGAATAAATATTCTGCTGTAGTCTTAGTATTTAATCTTGAAAGGTCGAGATAAAATTACAAGCGTGATATTTTGATTAGTATTTCAAATAACTAATTAAAATAGAATAATCATGTTTTTATAAAAAATAAAAATGTAGCAATTCTTACTAAATTGCCTCAAACTGTTCAGAGAAATGTTTATTAACAATTATAGGTGGGATGTTTTTTTTTTTATAAAATACTAACGAGAATATAAAACACTGTCGCCATCTATTGGTTCATAAAGTAACACGAGGCTTAAGAACTTACATGTTAAACAATTGTTTTAGCTACTTCAGAATTTTTAAAAAGATAGTTCGGTGAGAAACTTTAAGACTTGATAATTATCGTGACAATCATTTGAATGGTAGAATAAAATCATGATTTTCCCAGAGATGTTTTTGCTAGTATTATGATTTTAATAGGGAATATAATTACTCTGAAGCTTAAGATACAGCAGAACATAGGAATTATATATCTTATCAGTTTTGAATACAAATCAAATCAATAAGGGGTCCTTAAGAGCATGCTCCCATGGGGCTGGGATAAGTGTGAACTTACAAAGCTAATGTTCGGGATTCGATTCCCTGCGGTAGACAGAGCGCAGATAACCCATTGTGTAGCTTTGCGCTTAAACAAATAAACAAACCTTAAGAGCACTTTCACCCATTTATATATATAATTACTAAGTCTGCGGACTTATAACGCTAGAAACCGGGTTTCAATACTCGTGGTGGGCAGAGCACAGATAACCCATTGTGTAGCTTTGTGCTTAACTTCAAACAAAAAATATATAAAAAAATAAACAGAACACATAACAGGAACATCAAGGATAAAGGCACTCACTCTACCGCCCTCTAGTTGTAACTACCAAGTTTGTACTCACTTAGAAATTATTCGTATGATTATGTTAAAAATAACGGTGAAAACAAAACAAAAAAATGTTATTTTTTCTTTTTCTAACAGTAAAATTTAAATTTTAAATAACAGGAATTGCTTTATAATAAAATGTTATTTCACAAATAATAAACAAAGTTTCTTTCTTATAATTAAGCAATTAGTTAGATTTTTGTGCACAAGATGGTGCTGCGACCGAATCGATTTGGTGAGCTCATATGTTTACTGCATTGTTATTTGAATAAAAAAAAAATTAAATCTCCTAGCTCAAGATGCAGTAAATACTGGTGCAATTAAAATCGAATGTATATTTTTGCTAGAATTTCTTACCGTTTTACACAGTATCAATATGTAAACTAGCACACTATTACGAATTGATTTGTTTTCTTTTGAAGTTAAGCACAAAGCTACACAATGGGCTATCTGTTCTCTGCCCATCACGGGTATCGAAATCCGGTTTGTAGCGCTGTAAGTCCGCAGACATACCGCTGTGCCACTGGAGGGCTACGAATTGATTGGAAATATTGTTCATAAATCGCTACAGAGCATACAATAATATTTTCATATCTAAAGAAATTAGAAAAGGGATTTCATAATTCATTAACAAGTTAGTTTCCTTAAGACGATGTATTTAAATAACAAATAAGAGTCTGGGTTTCTCAAGGGCTTTTTATACTAGGTAAGATATGAATATTTAGGCAACTCATTACGTTAAGTCGACAGTAAAAAAAATAACCATTTCTTCATAATTTAGCTTTTGTTTTTAATCTAAAGCTTTAAGAGGGAGTCCCCCAGTGGGACAGGGTATGTATACGGAGTTACAACGCTAAAATCCGGGGTTCGAATCTACGCAGTGGACACGACAGATGGCCTAATGTAGCTTTGCTCTGAAATTGACAAACTTTGAAAGGTATTTGACGCCGTCCCTAATTTTGAACTACTGACCAGAGGGAAGTAATCCAGTCAGAAACACCATACCATCCTATTCACGCTAAAGGATTGATTGTCACTCTTATAACACGCCCACAGCTTAAAGTGAGGGGAATATTTTGTGGTAACACACGGATTTGAACCCTAATCGCCGGCTTCGAAAGCTGGAGCTCTAACAAAGAGTCAACTCGCTCCTAATAAGGAATAAATATACACCTACGTTTTATTGAGGGAAGGATTTGGAGCATTACACACGTTCAAACATTTCTCATTAGAAGAATTAAGGCACGATTTAATTGGTCATTTATAAAACTTTGTAATGTTTATAAAATGTGTATCTTATTAAGAATACACTCCTCCCTGCATATTCACCTCTATTTTCTGCCATCTAGTGTGTGATATGATAACTATATTAATTTTCTCCCCCGAGCACATATGTCATAAAATACAAATTCTCCTCCTTGTTCTTCACTCTTGCAAATTTCTTACAATTATTATTGAAAGAAGAAAAAAAAAGAATATACAGCTACTTAATGAAAGAACATCGGGAAAAAATGGACCAATCCTTAGTTTCGTAAAAAAATGATCATTTATTAAATAGGTTATCATTGTTGGTTCTATTGTTAAATGATTTAATAAGCGTAAGACCGTTTTATTTTTCGACCCGAAATCACTTACTTAACGCCCTCTAGTGGCACGGCGTTATGTCTTCGGACTTACGTCACTAGAAATCGGGTTTCGATACCCATGGTTGGAAGAGCACAGATGGCCCATTGTGTAGCTTTGTGCTTAATTATAAAGAAACATTTAATTGATACATGGATACTTTTTAAAACTAATTATCAAAGTTGGGACGACGATAATTTAAAACAATGGAGTTTATTAGAGCTCCACCTGTCCAATTCATTTTCTTTATCAAAATCATTTTATCTGCACTTCACTGCATAAGATGAAGTTAGTGTAATAAAGAGTTAATATTTTTAATTCTTCTTGCGTACAGCAGTTTTGTTTTTTAATTTATCGTTTTTCGAAGAATTCCGGTAATTATTTAGTGATTTTATTCGTAAAATTGAAAACGCTTTAGCGGTTTGGGTTATTACCCATTTTTGAACGCTCCAGTGGTACCTCCATTATGGTAGACAGCGTGTGTGTGTGTGTATATGTATATATATATACACACACACACATACGAGAACGTAATTATTGTTTACTTATAAAATGTTGCCTTGTTTGAGCATACTTTGTCAGCCCATGACTAGCACGCAAGGTAATAGGAAATTACGAGTAGCCCGAGTTAGCATCTCGACGCATTTCTCTTAATTGCTAACGGAAGCAATTGACATAAATTTTTCCGGAAG